ATCGGTTTAACTTTCGGAATACTCGAAATTCACTTTTTCTATCGATATTTCCATCTTTGTCGGTAAGGTTCTCAAAAGGAAAAAAAATGTTGCAGAAATTCAGGCCTCGTTTGATGTTCTTTTTCAAAAACGCCTTCTCAATCTTATTTTGGACTTTACTTTTTCTGTTGCATGGAGTCGTTTGGAGCTTCTTTTATTCAATAATTAGCATACAGGAAGAAACGAAAGACTTTATACGTGCCTATTATTTAGAAGAATACGGTGTGCCAATGATTGGCGATGGATTCGTTTGCTTGGATCACGGAGTTAACAAACCAAATTGATTGAATACACAGCCAAAAAATTGAGGCAAAAAGCTATTGGATTCGATACGCGGCCCTTTCTTTCACATTTGGCTTATCGGTCTGTATTCTGATGGCTTCTTGCATTTATACCTTTTTGGGTTACAAAGTGAGACGAATTTTTAAAAACAGAATCTCCAAAAAAGGATGCAGATATTGACGTACTTAAAAACCTTCTCCCACAGCGTAGCTACAAAACGAATGCATCGCCAATTATTCTATGCACTGACAGTTCAAGCTTCGATTCCTATATTCGTTTGTTTTCTTCCATGCGCTTGTTCCTGGTACACCATCCCATTCAACATTGACTTGGCCAAGTAAATTCGTTGAAATCACTTAGACCTTAAGGGAAATGGCAGGTTGCGATGCGGTTCCCATTTCGAACGCACATTAATCAGCAATTGCCTACATAAGGAATTTAAATGAGACATCGTTTCTTGAATTCAGTTTATTATCCTATCTCGGTTATATCATCATCAAAAACTTTTAACAATATTTTCGGAAAAAAAGGTTTAGTGTGGTGATAAAATGGAACCCAAAATGGAAAATTACTCTTTTGAAAATCTTTTTCTCACTTTAAAATTTGACATTTAAATTTAAACAGTTTGATAGAGGTTCCTAAAAAGTTATATCCCAGATTTAGTATCAGCTGCCCTTCTTGAGCCTAGTCTTATTTTAAAATGCCACTATGAGTTTCTGATGGAATAGGCTAAACTATGAATAATTTTAGGTTCAACGACTACTACAGTGTACCAATGGTTAGTGCGTTTCCAGCTCTAGACCCACTGGCTATCATCTATTTTATCCCTCAATATCGTCGCCTTTTCATCCCAGCTTTTTTCAAGAAAAAATCTGTAAACGCTTCTTTGCCTACTCTCACTGTTTGAACTATTAAATGTTAAAAAAATGAATTTCTTTTTTTTGTTATAGAAGAATACATTGCACCCATTTTCTAAGATCGCCGAATCTCACGATCAAAACACACAATAAAAAATAATTCAGAGAAAATCCTCATTAGTCACTGATTCAGAAAAAAAAATTCTCACATGATTATCAAAATTTGTAGTTTATTGAGAAGAAAAAATATTTGAAACAGAAGTTCAGTGATCAAATCTCACGGAAACTTGTCTAGAAGTCTCAAAGTCAGTTGAAAGTTGAAGTTCTGTATCTTTGATTCTGTGAAGTTTCTCTGAGTCTAATCATAATAATTAATGACAACGCTTTGTTCAAAAAAACTTGAATTTATTTCAATTAATTAACTTCATCTATTACCAGATTTCCTTTTTCATAAAGTACCAAATGACAACCATTTTTTTATTCCTTTTCGACGCTCACTTGTTTTTGATCCCCAGCTATGTACTACGAATTCTTCTTCCTACGTACTTCCTGCCGTTCAGCTTTTTCCACTTTTTTTCCCAAAAAAATTTCAATTAAAAAAACGAACTTGTTGAGAGGTTTTCAGAGCGCTATCAATGTCCACCTCCGCTTTCTTAGACGTCGATTTACCTTGTTTTTTTCATAATTATATTGAAGATAATAAGTACTTGAGAGACTGAGCTAGTCGTCAATTGGGAGAAAATTTTCTCTTTTTGTCTAATTTCATTTCGGAAATTCTAATGGAGACGGTAAAAAATGGAAAACAATTACGTCTTTCTTCTATCGATTTTATGTGATACCTCTGACATTGATTAAAAATTGAAAATCGTTCAAAAACTGGAAGGATTTAGGTTGTTTTTGAAGATAACGAGTCGTGCAAGCCAAAAAGGCCACTTGAAAGAAGTCCAATTTCTTGCTTTTCTCAAGAAAGTCATAAATGGAACGCTCTTCGAACTTCATGAGATGGTTCCCTGTTTTATTTTTCCTATTATCCGTAATATTCAACTCCCTATGGATCTATCTTATTCATTCTAAAAAGACGGTTCTTTTTGGGAGGTATCGACATTTACTAACTTGCTTCGCTCTTTTCGACATCCTATATTCTCTAGTTGACATTATTGCCCCTCTAGTAAGTTTATTTTCCTTTAAGCGATTTCTCTAATGGAATTTACAGAGTCAAATACAATATAGGAGTGCGCTATGTGCTTTGCTGGACAGTGCCATTATTGGTCCGGTGAGTAAATTCAAATTTTTCTTTTTGGAACAAAATAACTTCCAGACCTCTCCTCTAGCAAGAATCGGAGTGAATATCAGAAGTTCCTTCGTTGGGCTCACTTTTGGAATCCTTGAAATTCACTTTTTCTACCGCTATCTGCTTTTATGCAGGTATCAGGGTTTTAAGCCTGATTTTAAAAAAAAAGTAGAACTGGCAAAAAAGAAAAAAAAATTGCAGACCTCACTTGATGTTCGTATTCGAGAGCCCAGTGTTTTTATTTGGCTGGATATTTTTCTTCGCATCGCATGGATTTATATGGAGCTTTTTCTATGAGCTTATCAGTCTGAAGACCGAAACTCGAAATTACTTAAGAGACGCATTTATGGAGCAATACGGGACGGATATGGTAGGAGATGGGTTCGCATGCCTACAGTTTGACGTAAGGCTATTCTTTGAAATAATTTGAAAATATCCTTTTTGCAGGCTGAAAGCTTCTCCATACGCTCAATTTCAATTCTATTCGCCGTTTTTCTTTCCGCTTTCGTCGCCACCGCCACGTGCATTTGCACTTATCTTGGATACAAGGTATAGGATTTCTGGAGCCTATCTCACCTTTCAACTCAGATAATCGACACTCTGAGATCGAACTCGAGCAGCAGTGTTTCAAAAAGGATGCATCGTCAGTTATTTCACGCCCTAGTAGTTCAAGCTTCAGTTCCCTTACTTGTCAGTTTTTTGCCGGTTGGCCTGTCCTGCCTGGCTCCAGCATTGAACATGGATTTTAGAAAGTGAGTTGAGAGCGTATCCTATGAAAAAAAACTTTCAAATTACTCAGGTTTAACTATTACTTCAGTGTGCCTATGATCAGCGCCTTTCCAGCAATCGACCCCATCGCAGTGATTTATTTCATTCCTCAATACCGACACATTGTAATTTCGATGTTCTGCGCAAGATTAAACTCTAGGAATGTTGAAGTTTCTATCCAAACAAGCTCCATTCGGATAAAAACACAAGAAATTGGATAAAGGCTATTTTTAATGAACTCTTCGAACGATCATTGACAAGATACACAGAAAACCTTCTACTTCTTGTGGATTATTAGTGTATTTTCGAAATTCTATCCTTTTCTTGAGATTTAATTGGACTCCCTTATGAGTAACGAAAACAAAGTGTGGGTGTCGGCCCCATGAGAATTGAACTATGATTTCGAAACCTATGCGTTTTTTTTTACTCAGAAGTTTGTAAAAAGTATCCTCACAATTAGGAAAAACATTGAAACGTGAGAAATCTAGTTTGTCTAGTTTATCTAGTTTAAATCTAGTTTACTCAAAATATCAGAAACAATAGAAAACCTTAAACTAATGAAGAGAACAAGTTCATTCAAATATCCTTCACAGCTGATTTTCAAAGAGAACTTTTCCTAACACCTACAGAAATCCAATTTTTGTCCCTGGACTGGAAATTTAATTTTCACGGGGTTGGCTATTCCACTAAAATAGTCTTGTTTTCGGAAAATTTTCGAAGAAAGCAATATCGAAAAGGACGTTTTAGCTCGAAAGAATTATTATTCAAAGTCAGCCTGCCTAAAATATTCCATATTGATGGAGAAGGAACGCACGGAAAACTTCACAAGATGGTGCCCTCCTGTATTTTGCCTATGCTCTCTGATTTTCAATACATTGTGGATTTATTTACTTCGATCGAAAAAAACAGTTCCCTTCGGGAAATACCGTCATTTGTTAACGTGCTTCGCTCTTTTCGACACTCTCTATTCAATAATTGACTTTTTTGCACCTTTAGTAAGTTCTACGATTAGCGTTCATCAAAAGAATCGTTACAGAATCAAATACAACATAACAAAGCATTATGCGCTCTTCTGGACAGCAAGTTCATCAGCCCGGTCAGTAAAGTCCAAATTAATTATGATAGGTAGTTCAAAAAGTCACTAAATTTTTCTAGATTATGTTTTTCAGGCATCAAAGTTTGCAAAAATCGGATTGTGCCTTCGATGTTCTTTGAATGGGTTGACTTTCGGCATACTCGAAATTCATTTTTTCTACCGATATTTGCTTCTTTGCAAGTATGACGCTATTAAAGTTGAGCCAACAAGAGTGCTACTTTTTCAGGCCTCATTTAATGTTCATTTTCGAAAAACCTGCTTGTATTTGTTTTTGGTTCTCATTCATAGTTTTTCAAGGACTATTGTGGAGTTATGTGGTGAACCTTATCAGTTTGAAAAACGAGACCCGAGAATATCTAAGAGAAGCTTTCCTAGACTTATACGGTACCGAAATAGTTGGGGATGGATTCGCATGTCTGCATTTCAACGTAGGGCTCTGAAATTTGGTCCTTTCTACTCAAAATCTGTCAAATTTACAGGCAGAAAGCTTCTCAATACGGCTTCACTCAATTTTATTTACGATCCATTTTGTAGGTTTCGGAACCGCTGCCACGTGCATTTGCACTTTTCTTGGATACAAGGTATGAATACTTGTTTTAGTTATTAAATTTCAGTTTAGATCACTAAAACTTTGAAATCTCATTCAAATAGCAATGTTTCTAAGAGAATGCATCGTCAGTTATTTCACGCCCTTCTGGTTCAAGCTTCTGTTCCTTTATTCGTTAGTTTCCTACCGTGCGGAGTTTCTTGCCTGGCCCCGGCGTTCAACATTGACCTCCGGAGGTGAGTGATCAAATATAAAACTTTTCTGAAGCCTAATATCGAAACTTCAAGCTTCAACTACTACATCAGTGTACCCATGATCAGCGCCTTTCCTGCTCTTGATCCACTAGCAATTATCTACTTTATTCCACAATATCGCAACACTGTCATCTCAGTGTTTTCCTCGAAATCCTTGTCGGATAATGTCAAAGTTTTCATGCAATCTTTTTCATTGCAGTTGAAAGGATCATCGCGAAAAACAAGACCACCTCCAAAAATTTCAAACAACTCAAAAATTTGATCCTTGGTTTATTTTCTATCGAGCTTACCTTCTTTCCAAGAATCGGCTGAGAGTCTCACGTAAACCTCACTTACGAAATTTTTCAGTGAGAAGCTTTTCCCATCAAAACGACCATTAACTGATTTCTCTCATCAAGCTTTCACTTTTCTCAAAAATTATGTTGCGAGTTTAACTTGACAATGAGCTTTTTTTTATCCTTTTTCAAAAATGAACTTGTGATACGTGTTTTGTGCAACAGTTGAAAAAAACTGTTAAGAATTTGTCATCAAAAAAATAATATAAAAAAATACAGTCATGAAGATATTCAGTCATTCTTGACCGATTTTGAATCTATTTTTTTGAGATTTTTATAAATAGTGAGACCTCAATATTGCAAATGAAGTTTCCTATTTTTTTATCTTCATTATTGGATACCAGAGAGCACTTTTTGGAAGGACGTGTGAGCCGGAAATGTTATTCCTTTTATTTCGTTCAAAAAAAGAGATTAAATAACAAAGAAGCGTATAAAAAGCAAGTTCTCAATGTTAGATCGAAACTATTCAATAGTAAAATTATTATTTTCTATAAAAATAAATCGTATTTGGTCTATTTTTTCTTTTTTCTCGTTAAAAATGGCCTACCCGCCACCTTTTTTCAAACGCCGAGTTCGCTAGATGTTTTTCTTGTTTTTTTCAGAGATTTTGGAAGATAATAAGCACTTGCGAGATTGAAATAGTCGCTTGGGAGGATTTTACTCTTTCGAACTCATTTCGGTATAAGTATTCGATTTCAATGGAGACGGAGCGCAAACAGAACTTCACAAAATGGTCCCCTCATATATTCTGCGTATTTTCTCTGTTATTCAACTCTTTGTGGATCTATCTACTTCATTCGAAGAAAACTGTGCTTTTTGGGAAATATAGTCACTTACTCACTTGCTTCGCCATTTTCGACATTCTATATTCAGTTTTCGACATATTCGCCCCTTTAGTGAGCTTACAAATACAATTTCCGTTTGTTAAGAGAGTTTACAGACCCAAATACAACATAAGAAAACGCTATGCGCCTTGCTGATCAGCGACTTCATCGGTCCAGTAAGTTCGATACGAATTCACTTCCTTTTTCCATTAATCAGTAAACGAATGAAGTTTCCCGTATGTCATGTTTTTATCCTAATTGTCTCATTCTCACAGCTTTTTCTGGAAATCTCAAAAATTGTAGCCATTACACAAGAATGGAGAGGGATTAAGAGAGCCTAAAAGCTAATAAAAAGTGATAGAAATCTCTCTCTTTGACCTTTTTCCGGAGAAGAATGGGAAAAAAGAGCAAAAAAGTTCAGAAGGAGGTAGGTTAATTAAAAAGTTCGTTATCGTCAAAAGGCTACAAAGATAAATTTCTCAGGATCGTTTTTAGTACATTTAAAGTACACCTTTTGAGTTTAATAAAAATTTATTCGCCTCAAAAAATTTGCGAAACTTTGAACATTAGTTTTTTTACTTAACGGGCAGAAAGGATTTTTTTTTTTTTTTTCAAAGAGAAAAAAGTTTCAAAACTAAGATTTTACAAGGTTTCCCGTCATATGTTCCTGATTTCCAGAAATCACAATACGCTAAACTCGGAATGATTACCAGAGCGGCCTCTATAGGACTGACTTTCGGCATCCTTGAAATTCACTTCTTCTACCGTTATCTGCTTCTTTGCAGGTGGGCAGCTTGAAAAGCTAAATTACGAGAGAGAAAAAAAATTTTCTTTAAGACCACATTTGATGTTCCTTTTCGAAAAGCCTTTCTGTATCTTTGGATGGGTGATATTCTTCGTTTCGCACGGAATTACGTGGGGATTTTTCTTGGAGCGAATCAGCATTGAGGAGGAATCCCGTGAATATATGAGAGAAGCTTTCATGGAGCAATTTGGTACAGAAGTCATAGGAGATGGATTCGTCTGTATGCAATTTGACGTGTGGACTAATTTTTTTTAATCTTCTATAAACTACTTCTACAGGCTCAAAGTGCTTCGATACGCTGGAACTCGTACCTTTTTACAATTTTTCTCTTAGTTTATATGACCATCGCCACCTGCGCTTGTACTTATGTTGGGTTCCGGGTAAAACAAAGTTCTTTTGCCTTCATACATCATTTGTCAGATCATCAACACTTTGAAAACTCAAGTATACAGCAAGATTTCCAAAAGAATGCATCGTCAGTTATTTTACGCTCTATTGGTTCAAGCTTCTGTTCCATTAGTTGTGAGTTTCCTACCCTGCGGAGTTTCTTGCATAGCTCCTGCCTTCAACATGGATTTCAGAAAGTGAGTTGTCGAAGTGTTTGAATATTTAGATTACAAAAAGTTTCAGTTTCAACTACTACTTCAGTGTGCCAATGATCAGCGCTTTCCCCGCTTTAGACCCACTGGCAATAATTTATTTCATACCCCAATATCGTCAATATGTCCTTTCTCTATTTTTTCCAAGATTTAACTCAAGAAAGATGAGAATTTCTGTGCATACTAGTTTCAACCGAGTAACTTCATCGGAAGTTGGATGAATCCCTCATTTACCACCTAGGAGTCCTACTTTTTAAAAATTATCATCGACTGCAATTTTTAAAATATGTACTACCTTATCCTTGACTGATTCATTATTAAAGTATCCAAACGACCAGTTTTTGTAAAATTGAAAAATTTTCCATTAAACAACTTTTTCTCGGTTCTCTTTTCTCAACAGAAGGTTTCTTTTAAAAGGAATGAACACACGTTCTTCGAGATTTTCGAATATCTGTTGGTACAAACATTTCATCTTTGGGGGCGCGCCGTAGCTCAACAGGTTGTGTGCCTGCCTACGGTCCACAGGGTCACAAGTTCGATCCCCGCCTCGACCCAACCAAGGGGTTTAAGAAATGTTGGTGGTGGGAAACCACGGCTTCATAATCCCCAGCCGTCAAACACAAGGACGGATATGTCACTCGAGCCAGTCCACTGATATCAGGATAGGACCCCGGCTAATCGACTTGGGGCGCCGACGCCGCTTAAGCGATACAAAGGCGTAGGAAGAAGAAGAAGAAGAAGAAGAAGAAGACAAAAAATTCATCTTTGGTCCTGAGAGCTTTACTTGCTATCGTAGATAGTGAACAAGCTCTTGAATATTTGGAACCAGGTTTATTAGGCTCCGCACACTTTCAGGCTTACTGTGGACAAAATACCGTCAAAATCAAACTTTTTTCCTAGTGGAGCAAATTGGTCCAAACCAATTTCAAAACAACATCTGTTCCCATATGAACATTTATAGTTATAGAACTGACCCGAAAAAATTTTCTTCCAGAAGGAAAAAATTCACGTTTTTTCGAAAAATGACGATTTTCGCACTCTTTGAGCCATAACTAATACTAGAACCCCCGAATGCCTGGATTTTTATTTTTCAATCGACGCATTAGGGTCTTGTGAGTATAGGAAAAATTTCTAGAAACTCTGAATACGGGTGATCCAGTTGACCTCTTTTTCGGAGAACGCGGCCAACTTGAAAATCGCAAAACCTTTGAAAATTTCTATTTTTTGTGAAAGCCGGATTCCGTCTTGTTTCTTTCTTTTGTTCAACAGGGAAGGGCTACATTTGTCCCCATAAAATATTAGTCACTATTTTTTGTGAGTTGTGGCTTAACGTGAGTTGCAACTTTTTTTTAGGCGAAATACCAGTGAATTCCAGATTATTCGGCAAACAGGGGTACTGCTGGTGTTGCGTCACAAAAAAAATTTTAAAAAATTTCTGATTTTTTTCACTGTTATTTCGCATTAAAAAAGTTCCAACTCACGTTAAGCCACAACTTACAAAAAATAGTGACTAATATTTTGTGGGGACAAATTTAGTCCCTCCCTGTTGAACAAAAAAAAAGAAACAAGACGGAATCCGGCTTTCACAAAAAAATAAAAATTTTCCAAGGTTTTGCGATTTTCAAGTTGGCCGCGTTCTCCGAGATGGAGGTCAACTGGATCACCCGGATTCAGAGTTTCTAGACATTTTTCCTATACTCACAAGACCCTAATGCTTCGATTGAAAAAAAAAATCCTGGTATTCAAGAGCTTGTTCACTATCTACGATAGCAAAAAAAGCTCTCAGGAACAAAGATGAAATTTTTGTACCAAAATTTTTGGCATTTGTTCGATTCTCTGGGAAAATGGGTGTGAAATGTTAGAAAATCGTAGGCATAAAAAAATTTTAATAATCAATGAGGTTCATACCTACAAACTGGTGAATTTCGCGAAATTTGTTCGAGTATAGGAAGCGATTTCAAAAATGTCACATGACTTGGAACAAATAATATCGTTTAAGCTCAGTCAGTCAGTTTCTGATATTCGACCACAGTCCAACACACAAACAACTTCACAAAATCGTTTCCCACTATTTTTCCGGATTTCCCATAAAACTAAACAACTTATACGTAGATCTACCTCATTCATTCAAAGAAGCTGTTCTTTTTGTGAAAAATATATCCTAACTTCCATACTTGCTTCGACTTTCTCGCCATTCTTCGTTTTGCCTTTGATTTGATAGCCCCTTTAGTGAGTTTCACCATCCAAAGATCGTTCTCTTTTTGAGGAGTCCTTAATGATCAAAATAAAACATAATAAAGCATCATTTTTTGTTGGTGAGCAAATTTACAAGCCCGCTAAGTTAAAACCAAAATTATCAATCTAGAATTTCGAAAAAAAAGGCAACTATGAGTCACGGGAAACTCACAAACTAGAAGTAAACCTTCTTGAAAATGTCCACATTAGCTAATTTCAAACCTCTGCATTTGCAAAATTCAGAATGAAGACGCTAATTTCTACTCTTGGCTTGAATTTTGGCATTCTCGAGATTCAATTGTTCCAAGAAAAACTGTACCTCTTGCATTTTCTGTTTGAAATACACTTCAAAATAGAAAAGATAATTTTCATCCCTCTTTGGAATAAACTGGCTACATTGGGAAACCTCAATGTTTCTCCAGATCGTTTCAGGTCTTTGTTACTATCCCTCGATAACAATTTCCTTTTTGGATCTATTCCCAGCAGACTCCGTTGAACCAGGTACCCGTGCTTTAGCCCTACTCTAATCCATCTTATGCGCGTCTATATCATTACAAACAATTAAATTCCCCATTCACCTGTGCTACACTGTGTCATAACTTATAATGCTTTCTTTACCATTCACTTATTTTACCTTTGCGCAATCCTCACCTCTTATTCTTTCATTACTGGCTCAGAGGCTCGTGAGGGCCTCAAGTGCCTTTTATTTATTTATTTCAGGCTTAATGCCAAATTTTTCTCTTTTTTTTCTGTACATGTTATTTTGTTCTGCCTGTAAATAAATAATATTATATAACTGCCATTTATATCTTTTCATGACTTTTTCACCTGCTGAAGATAACGAGAAGTTACTAGAAGTCCAAATAAGCCTTCTGCGAAAAGTTTTTCTTTCTCGGTTGTCCTTTTTTCAAAAATATCAGTATGGAGCGCACGACAAGCTTCACAAAATGGTTCCCGCCTGTCTTTTTCATATGGTCTGCTATATTCAATTCCATGTGGATTTACCTGCTTCATTCAAAGAAAACTGTACTTTTTGGGAGATATCGTCATTTACTTACCTGCTTTGCTCTTTTTGATATCCTATATTCAGTCGTTGACTTGATTGCGCCTTTTGTAAGTTTTTTCTCACGAAAATGTTTCTTATTGAGTTTATAGAGTCAAATACAGCACAAAAAAGCTTTATGTGCTCTGTTGGACAGCGAAATTATCAGCCCGGTAAGTGAGTTCAATAGAAAAAAATCAACATCTAAAGAAGTTACATCATTTTCTCCCCTCAGACCTCGCAATATGCAAAAACCGGCATAGTCATTAGAGCCGCCTTTATTGGCTTGACTTTCGGCATTCTCGAGATTCACTTTTTCTACCGGTACTTTGTTCTGTGCAGGTAAAAAGCTTCAAAAGTGTCTCAACAAAAATAAATTTTTTTTCAGACCACAGATGATGTTCATCTTCATGAACCCAGCATTCATTTTTGGCTGGGTTGTTTTTTTCGTTACTCACGGCTTTACATGGGGCTTCTTCTACGAGCTTATAAGTTTGAAAAATGAAACTCGAAATTACTTGAGGGAGGCGTTCCTTGAACAGTACAGTACAGATATAATCGGCGATGGATTTGCATGCTTACAATTTGACGTGAGTTTTTTTGTTTGTTTTGAACCGGAGATTATATCGAAAATACAGGCACAAAACGACTCAATACTCTGGACCTCTATGATATTCACAGTCTTTTTACTGTTCTTTGTAGGTATCGCCACGTCCACTTGCACTTTTCTTGGTTACAAGGTATCAAGGGTCGAGTATACATGTTTATCTCCCAACCCAGATCATCGTCACTTTGAAGTCGCATTTGAACAGCAACGCTTAAAAAAGAATGCATCGACAGTTATTTAACGCTCTTTTGGTTCAAGCTTCAATACCATTACTCGTCAGTTTTCTACCTTGCGGATGCTCCTGTCTGGCTCCTGCGTTTAATATTGATCTCAGATAGTTTGTTCTCACAAAAAAATATATATATTCTGCAAAAAAAGAACCTTTCAGCTTCAACTACTACTTCAGTGTGCCGATGATCAGCGCTTTTCCAGCTTTTGACCCACTGGCAGTTATTTATTTCATACCTCAATATCGTCAAATTGTCCTCACCATGCTCTTTCCAAGAGCAG